ATGGATAAGTCAGCTCAGTTTTTTTGGGTTAATTTTTTGACTAAAACTTCTAGACCTATACATGAGTATATACAGTATGTTATACCAGTATATGTCATTAACAGGATGCCAGTCCTATGTGAGCTCATTTCCCTTAGTGAAAACCAATTCCTTGGCTGGAGATGTGCTTAGAGGCATCCTGTTCATTAATTTTAAGTGTTTGGATGCCTGGCTAAATCATTTTTTATCTGACTTGGGTTGATGGCTTCTAGTACAAATCGAAATTAGATCCAACAAGTCTGAAGGTTTCCAATGCCTGGTTTATAGCCCAGTCCCACAATATCTAAGCAACAGTGCGCAGCTTATTGAACTCGTGTACTGAAAGAATCCACATTTAGGTGGTAAACTTTAAATGCATCACCTTCAGTTGAGAACGAGGCACAGATATTTAAATTGACAGCTTCCCTGGTGGTAAGAGTTGCACATGCACATGCAACTGTCCTGCCGTAAAATATTGGGAAGGTTTAGTGGTGGGTTATGCAGTAGTCCAACAGTTGTTGCAGAGACATGGGGGTGAGATATCTCTGGAGGGGAGGCAGGCATGAGTTAAGCCTGTTTGAGGTTATTCTTGTGAGAAGCGCCTGGATGCAAGAACAAATAAGGGGTGTTGTGGGAAGGAGAAAGGGAAATGTGTTTATAAATTGCAACGAATAAGAATTGTGCCTGCCATGAATTTGAAATTGTATATAATTTAATTAGACAATGTTAACACTTGCTGTTTCATTCTGACAATGAACCTCTCCAGTATGGAACTACTGAACTACTAACTACTGAAGCCTGAAGTTCTGAACTTGGTTAGCTGCCAGACTTGACACCTAGAGATACCTAGGAGACAGCTTCTGTTAGAGATCTGTAAGTATGGAATGAATATTTGCTGCTTCATTCAATAGATCCAGATTGCCTCTATGCACAGAGACACACTGTCCAACCCGTGTAACCAAAGATCTCTAGTTGTTCCTACCTACTCAGTCCAGTGGGATTCAAATTGGCAGAGAAAAAGAACAGTGAATACAAGCCGGGGTTGTATTAATGAGAAGAGTAACCTATCCATTTGGAAATATTAATGACTTTCTCTACAAAGACGGCCCCTAGAAGCTTGGCCTCCACTTTGAATTCCACCTTTTTGGAAGAATCAAAACCCTTTCTTGAGGTCCACATGTAATTTGATGAAGCTTTTTGTCTTCCTAATAACACTAAACGCCATCTGGAGACTTAAGGCTCATCTCTTTGAAGCAGAGATGGAAGCCTGAAATGTTTAAGGGTCCTTTTACTGAAAGGCTGGAGTGAAAGGGCGGAAATTTTTAAAGCTTCCAGGGCAGATTGATCTTTGGCCGGGAATCTTTTGCTTTCCTCTCCTGCCGCTCCCTTGCCTCAACCCCTTTAGCATACACTAGCCACTTGATTCCTTCCCTTGATGACATTGAGATGGGAAGACTGAGTTTCATTGTTTGGAGAAGAAAGAATCAGAGGAGAAGAAAGACTGAACATAACAATTGCACTCTTTTGACACTCTCTGCCCCACTGCACATTTTACACTTCGCTAACAATTACAGATCCTTTGTAAAACTGTTGCTGCAAGAGGCTGCAAAAGTCATAGAAGTAGTTATTGTCGGGCATAAACAGCCAAAAGGTTCTTGAAATACTTTCCAAGCCCTTCTTCAGGGAAAACCCAAGAAAGGGTAAGTACATATCTTCAATCCATGGAGTTATCTTTGTATATGAGGTTACCTGGGCTGGGATATGCATTTAAACATACAACCTCTGTAGATTAGAATGTGCGGATGCTTTATTGTTTGTTCTTTTTGTTTGACATGATAAAGTAAGGGTAAAGAAAGTCTCTTGACATGAATGTCTAACCATAACCGACTGTAGGGGTCAGTGCTCATCTCCATTACTAAGCCAAAGAGCCAGCGTTGTCAGAAACTACTCTGTGATCCTGTGGCCAGCAGGATTGCACCAAACACTGTTTACCTTCCCACCGAAGTGGTACCTATTTATCTACTTGCATTTGCATGCTTTCAAACTTGGCAGAAGCTGGGACTAGTGACAGGAACTCACTCCATCACGCAGCACTTGGGCCTCAAACTGCCCACCATAGGATCTTCCGATAGTCAGAAATGGCATCTTAAATGCTAAGCCACCACATCCCTTGATATAATAATGATATATATACAATGATATCATATATATATATATATATATATATATATATATATACACACACACACACACACACATGAACTGTAATACTGGTTTTCTCTCACTAGGTACCATTATAGTTCTGTCTGTCAAGCCCATGCAACTACAAGAAGCACCTGGTGACAAAATGTGAGATGGTCCATCCTCATCATTATCATCATCAGAAACCTGAAGACACCTGATCCTGTCTAATCTTGGTAGCTAAGAATGGTCACAGAATCATAGAATCCCTTGATCTAGACCAGGGGTAGGCAACCTTTTCCCTTTAAGGGCCGAGGGACTTCAGCTCCCAGAAGACTCAGCCATGTTGGCCAATAGTCCCATGTTGGCCAATAGCTCCTGGGATTCTGGGAGCTGAAGTCCCTCGGCCCTTAAAGGGGAAAGGTTGTCTACCCCTGATCTAGACACTATCCTCCTATTGATGCAGCCTAAAATTGCTTTGGCTTTCTTAGCTGCTGCACCAAATTGCATCAAATTCACCTGTGGTCCACTGAGACTCCTAGATCCTTTTCACATGTACTGCCTTCAAGCCAGGTGTGCCCCTTCCTATATCTTTGCATTTCATTTTTACTGCCTAAGTGTAGTACCTGACATTTCTCCCTGTTGAAATTCATTGTGTTAGTTTTGGCCCAACTCTTTAACCTATTATGGTCATTTTGAGTTCTGATTCTGTCTTCTGAGGTTTGGTTCCAACTCCCCGCCCTGTGGATACCAAAATCCGTAGGTGCTCAAGTCCCATTAAATAGAATGGCATTGTAAGATGGTGTCCTTTATATAAAATGACAAAATCAAGGTGTGCTTTTTGGAAGGGTTTTTTTTTAATTATTATCAAGCCAGGGATGGTTGAATCCATGGATAAAGAATTAGTGGATAAGGAGGTCCAACTGTCATTCAGGCTGAGATGCTGTTGCTCTGTGGCAGAAGGATCTCCCCAGCCTTGCTTTATAGATAAACCAGAATGCATGTGTGACTAACTTTGGATCCAATCCATTGTTTTCAGACGCATGCACAAACATTTGGGTGCAAACCCTAAAGTTTCTCAACCTCAAATGGCCTGACCTCCATATATAGGGCTTGGGTCATGGGAGATCCTCTTCAAAGGGCATCGGGAGGTAAAGAGTCCTACCCCAGTCCCTTAAATTGATCTCTCTGGATTCTGGCCCTGAACTCTAAGAACACTCACACATTCAGACAAGCCCTTTAGTGTGAAATTGAAACGTATCAAATTCTGTATGGAGCACTGTTCCGTTAAGCTTGAGGTCGAGACCACCAAGTCGGTTTGTGTTTGATCTCATCCAGATCTGAAAGGCAGGGCATTGAGGCTTTACCTCCTCCCACTCACAATAAGTTGCAGTATCCAGGGCATCGCGTCTGTCTGAATTAAGTAAAACAGGGCCCAAAGTTTAGTGCAAAGTTGTGATTCCATTAAAGGGCTGTATTTCACTCTTCAAGGTTAAAATCCAGCAACCTCAGCAAAGCTACCAGGGAATAACAATGGGGATATTTAATCTTGCCACATGTGGTGTCGTTTATGATATTTAAAGAAAATAGTTTCGGCTCTTGCAACAAAAAGTAGGGAGGGGGCAATTCCAAACGGGAGTTATAGTTGAGTCTGGACTGCTTCCTGAATTTTACTTGTGTTGCGGCCGTTTGTTTAATGTCTAAATCCCACAAGGAGTTGTTTGCTGGGAAACAATATGTGACTGGAACACATGTATTATTATGTGTGCTGTAGATTTGGCCCCTGACTTTCAACCTACGCTGAGATTGTGTGCTATGATCCATGAAAACCACATACTGTAAGTACTCATGTATAAGTCTAGAAATTTGAGCCAAAAAATTGATGCAAAAAACCTGAGTCAACTTATCCGTGGGGCAATGTAAGTACTGTATTTTAACTCTTATTTTAAAAGGAACCAAGAGTGTGTCCTGGAAACACTGATCCCCCTCTCATCCATCCAGCCTTTAGGGTGAGCACAAACAGTTATGCCTGCTGGACTTCTGTAAGTTGCTTCGCATTGTTTTCCTTTGCTTCATCCTCCAGATCCTTTGTTACATTGCCCCTAAGTTTTACCCTCGACTTATCCACGGGTCATATTGAAATCCATAATTTTGGCCCTAAAACCTGCCCTCGACTTATCCATGAGGTCAACTTATAGTTGAGCATATATGGTAACAGTTTTGGTTTTCTATGGTATATTTCTGCCTTATCTCTACTCCATTCATTGACAGAGTATCAAATTGTATGGGTATGTCCAGAAAAGACAAGTGAAATCTGGTCTCCAAGAGAGGCACAACATTCTTTGAAATCATGATTTTTATCATCAACATAAACATATGGTCCGTATAGATAAAACCACAGTGTTTATCTGGAAATAGATGTGGGTGCAAAGTATAAACAGGTGGAAAGCATCAAACTTTTCTCCTCTCAAGGATAATACAGTCTAAGATGGTGCTTCTTTCTTATGATGACAAGTTACCAAATAATTTACGCTTTCACAGAGAAAACCCATGAAGCCAAAATCAGATTCTTCCTTAAAGCTGTGTACAATAGGCTTCTCTGGGGAGGACCCATCAATGCAGATTTCACAAATCCACAGAGGATGGGGCCAGTGATTGGAAAGCAACTGCTATCTTCCATGCAAAGACAAAAGGGAGTCAATAAAAGGGAGACCACAGTCCTAGCTGCCTGCAAGACTCATAGAATTGTAGGATTCTGAGCAAGATCTGGGGAATACCATGTGTTTGTAGCTTTTCAAAGAGACAGTGGAGCGGAATGGTTGGAGTGTTGGACTATGACTCTGGAGACCAGGGTTCGATTCCCAGCTCGGCCATGAAACCCACTGGGTGACCGTGGGCAAGTCACACACTCTCAGCCTCAGGGGAAGGCAATGGCAAAACCCCTCTGAACAAACCTTGCCAAGAAAACCCTGCGATAGATTCACCTTAGGGTCTCCATAAGTCGGAAACAACTAGAAGCCCACACACACACACACACACACAAACACGTAGCTTCTCCAAGCTGATAAGGACAAAAAATTGTAACCCAGAAGCCTGGTGAAATAAATGCAGTTTATTTGTCATCTTCCTTTTGAGCTGATTGTCTTTCTGACTCATGGCTCAGGTCCCCAGGTGAGTAACAGCACTCCCCCCCAAAAAAAGATGTGTTCCCATAGAAGCTTCTCTGCCACGTCTTGTTCTCAGTGCTCTTTTTAAAAAGCAAAAGCTACAGGAGGGAAGGGCAAGATGAAAGGGAGGCTGGGATCCTATTTTGGGGTTGCAGAGAATACTGTATATACTCATGTATAAGTCTAGAAATTTTAGTCAAAAAACTGACCCAAAAAAACTGGGTTGACTTACCCATGGGTCAGTGTAAGTAGTGTACTTTAACTCTTATCAAAAGGGTGAGCAAAAAGAGTTATGCCTGTCAAAACTTTTAAAGATCTTTAGCATCGCTTTCCTTTACTTCGGCCTTTGCATCCTTTGCTACATGCTTTACCCCCGACTTATCCGTGGGTCATATCAAAATCCATCATTTTGGCCCCAAAATCTGCTCTCGACTTCTACATGAGGTTGACTTATAGTCGAGTATATATGGTAAATCTGCATGAGGAGTTATACACTGATGGCGCGACACAGTTCTTGAGTTGAACATCCGTCTTGCACAACCGAATGCACACCTACGTGAGCATCCCAATGCCCATGTCCATCTCATGATCATCTTTTTTGTTTCTTGCAAAGATGTAGCTACGTTAGTCTCTTGCAGCACAAAAAGGAGGAAAGGCAGGGGAGGAAAAAGGGAATATGGCAGCACCTTTAAGACTAACTGATTTTTATTTCAGCATGAGCTTTCCTGGATATAAACCCACTTCTTCAGATGCAGTGCAGAATGATATTGAAGCCCATCAGGAGATAAGGCCTATTTATAAAGTTGTGGGAGTGAGCTAAAATGTAATAGGATCTGGAAAGACACAAATCATGACTCTTGCTCTAAGTTTTCAAAGGGCTGCATAAAGGGATCCAGGTCTTTCAGAGCTTTACAGTGGTCAGTTCGTGTTGACGTGTGAAAGCAGTAAATCTGCTTGCCAAAAATCAGTTTCCCAGGGTTCAAAACTTTCATTGAGAAGATTCTTTTGTTATATGTGCAGTCGTGAAGACCCTTGTATGAATATATATAGTGCGCCATGAAGCCATTATCTTTGTCCATACCTCTGCTAATGGATTTGAATTTGTGAACAGAATTCAATTTAGCCGTTTCTCTTTCTAGCCTTCCTTTGGATTTCTTTGTTCAGGGACTGTGAGCTGTAAATCCTTTACTTTACAGGAAGGTTGAAATGTTCTGCAACTCTTTGTGTAGTCAGATGTGTAATGGTTTAAACGTTGGGCTATGACTCTGGAGACCAGAGTTCGAATCCCAACGTGGCCATGGAAACTCACTGGGTGACTTTGGGCAAGTCACACTCTCTCATCCTCAGAGGATGGCAAGGGCAAACACCCTCTGAACAAATTCAGCCAAGAAAAGGCCATGATAGGTTTGCCTTAGGTTCACCATAAGTCAGAAATGGCTTGAAGACACACAACAACAACAATCCTTTTGTCTAGAGACCCTCTTGTTTGTCCAATGTAGAGAAGGTTCACAATCCTTGAAGAAGGACATTACAATGGAAGGCTAGAAAATCTCCCCTGCATTTTGAGTAGGCTATTTCTGATTCTGATTCAAGTACAACAAAATACTTTGCTGGCCTGAATCTGCAAAATGTTGTGCTCAAGTAAAAAATATTACAGTTTATACAGTATAAGATACGCTCTATTTTTGCCAAGAACATAAACGCTTCCTTGGCTTTTGTGCCTGTGTCCTAAACTGCACCACTTTCACTAAGCGTGCAGGAAAATATTCAGATGTTCTGATCTTAAATAGTTGGATAAATCCTACCCTGAAAGACATGTACAATAGTTGTTCGGGTACAGCAATAGGTGGGGAATGACTTGGAATTTGTTGAAGCGCATTGTTAACTTTGCTGCACTTTCCAAACTGATATCCTGCTGAAAAGAAAGGGAGGAGGAGAAATACTTGTATGCCTTCTGCAAAGGACCAAGGGGTTATATTTCCTGTAACCCAATGCCCATGGCATTCCAGAGCAAGAAATAGGTCAAATGTTTGTATATTAAGTGGGGCATAGTAAGGGGACAAAATGGGCAGGTATGCATATTATAGCTAACTTGATGCCATTGTATTTTTTTGGGTGGTTGGCTTAATTTTTAAAATGATAGACAAAGGATTTCTTGACCTTGCTACTTTTTTGAATAATTGGTTTTTTTTCCCCATTATATATATATATATTAAAAAAAAAACCCAGAGAATAGAATTTCTGAAATCTCCATTAATGGGAAAGTTGTTTGGCAAATTCAGAAACATGCCAACTGGGTTTTTAAATGTCTTTTCTTTTTCCTTAGAAAAAAAGCGTTCTGCTCCCCACGGTCACTCGGTTTCGAAGGTGGTTTGATCATATGGCACAGGGAATAGCTCTTCAAGAAACAAGGCCCAATATTCTCCATGAAATCACATTCTTTGATGATGATTCGTGTCACTTTCTGTTCGGATTCTAGGCGGTTTGCACGCGATGTCGTATGAAAACCATTTGCGCAATTGTGCCTAATATGCTGGATAACCGTGGGTTCTGACCCGTTTAAACTTCCAGTTTTCCCCATGTGATAAACTCCTACATAGGGTCAACCCTGGTTAGTACTTGGAAGGCACACAAACCAAAAATTACCACATGCTGAAAGCTCTATTTCAGAGGAAGGGACAAATATTCTAAAGGCACCAGATCCTGTCTGATCTTGGAACCTAAGCAGGATCAGCCCTGTTTAGTACTTGGATGGGAGGTCACCAACAAATACTAGGTGCTGCAGGGGAAGAAACTGGCAAAACTACCTCTGAGTATTACCTGCCTAAGAAAACCCTGTGAAATTGATGGGATCACCACAAGTCGGCAGGAGACTTGGAGGCACAAGGCTATCAGGTAATGTGAAGTCGTAGGCTTTCATGG